AACGTTATATTAATTAAACATTTATATGTAAATATGTAAATATTTATTTTATCAATTTTCCAATTCCAATTTAAATTTGCCACTGGGGTAGCAAAACTTAGTCGAGCCATCTAATCGTGGATAAATCTATATATACATATATATATATATATATATATACATACATACCACCGACAATAATTCCCTCCTGCAACGATGACCGGGATGACCAAGTGAATTGCTTGCGCGGCATAGTGGACGCGGTCGGAATCGATTTCACGATTCGATTTCCGATCAACAGGGACCCGTCACGAGCAAGACAAACACGAATGGGGGAAGGAGAGAGCATTCCTCGTGGCCGTGCAGGATAATGATCCCGAACTCATTTCGCGATCATTCCATCTGATTGATCTGATTAGTCCAGGCCCGGAACAGGTCGACCGGTAAATGATCTCTGGCGATCTCAATCAGCTTCTGAAAAAAATAAAACGGCATCGATCACTCCACGGTCCAACCCTCCATCTCTCTCTCGTGTCGTCCTCCCTCTCATGCTCCCTTCTGCACGATAATGAGAGCCTCCCATGTAGAGAAAAAGGGATTATTTGCGGCACGGGATCGAAAATGCCGCGCAAGCCTCATTATCGGATGCACGACTACCACGATTCTGGAGCGGCTCTCGTTTCGACATCGTATTCCCTTTCGGCTCTCCCTCGGCCATTCTCCTTTCTCCTCGTCCAGATCTTCCAGCCAGCCGCGCAGAAAGAGGATCCCTCTTCGTCTTCTGAAACGTCGCGCTCCAAGCATCGGCTCGAATGGAACCTCGATCGGTGGAACGGTAAATCAACGACAAGGCCGGGGTCACGGGTCGAGGAATTAGAGCGGCTCGGTGCTCCCGGAATAACGTCGTCGACTTCTGATTGCTTAAGCGGAAAAGGGGAGTTACAGGTGTCACGTGGATGGATATTGTTTATGGAAGAAATGTAAGGAAGGTGTGGTAAACTTTTTAAACTTAGTATATTATAATATGTGAAAGTGTTATTGAGTGAAGTGTTAAATAAGTTTCATTATGTATGAATAGTTAACACTTGAGCGAATGGAAAAATGAAAAAGTTTTTGTAATTAAGGTGTCGATCGAGATTTTTCCGCGCAACCAAGTATTTTCGGTTTGATCATTTTCCCAGCAACAACAAGGAACGTAGTACGTCGTTATAATTGTTTAATTGGAAAAAAAGAAGAAAAAGAAAAAAAAAAAAACGAATGCGTAACGTTGCTTTTTATTCCGGTTTTCCTAACGCCCAAAGATTACCACGTTCATCTCGACAACCTTGAATATAGATTGCAGTTGCAATTGCACGTTTTTTTGCCGGCTAAGAAGCATCGTTTGCACGTTGCTTCCGTACATGAATCAACCGCTGAAAGACCACAAAGAAGCGTTTACAAGCTTGCGTGAACGCCGCGTTTAACCGGCCAACATTCTTGCCTTTGATCCGCGGCAGTCTACTTCAAATTGTCACCTGTTTTCCTTCCTGCTTGTTTTCCACGAATTTTCGAAGGAAAATCATTGACCAGCCTCTAATATCCCACACTTGAATTTCGAATTTTAATTTATTCATCGATTAGTTTCGTATTTAAACATCATTAAAGATGGAAAGGTACATAAAAATCTACTCAACTCGCCGTTTAATATTCTCATTACGCGAGAGCGTGTAATTGGAAAAGACGTTGGATACGTCCCGTCAAAACTTTAGCCACCAGTCTAATACATGAATTACATAGTTAGCCACGGCTGATTACGCGAACGTGCTCGTGCATAATTTGTTCCTGGCGCCATTGTTTCGCACTGCTCGCAGCCTCTTACGAGTTCCTACTCTTCTACTCTTAAAATAGCTTCGCGGAACTGAAATGTTCCTCGTTTAAAAAAGAAAGATGGAAATAGAATAGGGAAGTTTCACGCAAAGTTTTCTGCTCTTTCGTTCGAAAACGAGTTCCTCAAAGCAGAAAGGATGGAATTTTGTGAGGAGGGGGGAAGAAATAGAGGAATGTGAGTACACGCTCTTCAGGCTAAAAATTTCTCAAAAAAGAATCGAACCGAGGAATTCCACGAAATTCGAAATGGATTCGATTTTATTTCTCGAAAAAAAAAAAAAAAAAAATGGATTTGCAGGATTTCTCGAAAACCAGAAGTATCTCGCGAAATAAAACGGATTCCCCAATTATTCTTCAAAAGAAAATAATAAAAATAAAAATATCCAGAATATTTGAAACGAATCAAACCCGTTTTCCAACCCCGATGATGAATCTTTCACTGGATCATCGTAAACGAAATACTTTCCCATACTTCGTGGCCGGGCATAATTCCTCGTAATAAACACCTTCAAGGAAGCAACATCCATCGTTCGGCCGACAAAAAAATCCGAGAACGGCAAAAATCCCCCTTCGACTCCCGACCGAAACCCCCTTCTTCTCTCCTGCTGTACGAGTGAGCCGTAACACCTTCGGGGAGAGGAGGCTGTGGAGCGGAGAGAGAGAGAGAGAAAGAGCGTCTCTATTTCACGCGTCGCGTGTACACGCGCAACACGAGAAAGGCCGGGTCGCGAACACGCGATGCACAATCCATATTGCTCCCGCTTAAACGAAACGCTGCGCTGTCGGGTATTTCCATATACCGTTCCGGAATTCCGTTCCAGTTCGTTTAATGAGGAACGACTTTTTAACATTCCTGCGTTAAGCCAGCGTGAGAACCGCGAAATGCGGGGTCGTGGGCCGTAAAATCCGTGACTCAACGCTTGTTTTACATGCGTGGCAAAGATCGAGTTGGCCGAGTCGAGAGCCAGATCGAAAGGGAGGAGGGAGAATGTTGTGGATAGCGATATCGATCGAAATTTTTTTCTTTTTTTTTTTTTTCGATTTTCAACGGCGTCGCGGAAAGGAATTGAGGAGGGGGGAGGGAGGCTTCGTAGAGTTTTGCAATTTGTTTCGCGGAGTGAGATATTCGATATCATCCAAGTTTTGACGGGGAATCGGATCAGGATACTGTGCGCTGCGATTTTATTCAAGTTTTTTTCTCTAGAGATTCTTAGAGTTACGTCTTTTCATCTGAAATAATTGAGCAGAAGAATATCCTGTATGTACTTGTCGATACTTGTGATTTTCTCAGTTACTGTTCGTTTGTTCGTGTCACATTTGAATAATAAAATAAGAGAGAGAGAGAAAGAGAGAGAAGGGAGGGGGGAGAAAAAAAATTACGTTTCATATAGGCTCATCCCAGAAGTAGATTCTCAAGAAATCTTATTAAGTCGTAAAATTCTCGTGTTCATCTTTCTTCTTCTAGCTTCAATCAGAGGTGAGATATAGCTCGTGCCAGTTACCAGTGACTCACCCTCTTCTACAGTACTCATTATACAGCCTATCGATGCGTTAACTAAGCCTGTTTTCATTAACATACAAATTACTCGTCTCGAGATACAAACAACAATCGTGGCATTAATTTCAACGTCTCTATGTTTAAGCCTGACTTAATTAATGTTTGTACATTAGAGAGGAAGGGGAAGAAATATTAAAAAATAATAATCGGAAACACGCATTCGCGCATCTTTCACGAGAGCTTTAACCACTTGCTTCACTTGCAACAAGAATGAGGATTAGAAACGTTCGTGTCAAACTTTTGAACACGATCCCGCGTCACGATGCTTGAAGTATTTGAAATCGCAACGACAGGCATCAGATAAGGCCTCCTTGCAAGCCTCCATGCGTTTAATTATCGATACGTTATCTGATGGTAGACGAATCTTTTTCACAATTATTTAAACTCGTCGAATGGCGTCGAATTAACATGAATGCCTCGTCCAATGATAGATTCGATCAAAACTGAATCTTCCGCGAAAATTATAGATTTCTTCAAGATCATAAGCACGGGGAAGTATCAGATTGGATTATGATTGGATTTCAATCGTAATTCAATGCCAGATCTCTCGCTTGACTGCTTAATCAATCGAACTTATTCAGGTCGATGATTCCTGTTCCTGTCCATACCTGATTTAAGTTAATTAACCGAGAGTAATAAAATTGAATGGTTCGATTACTTCAAGTACACGTTAAAGACACAATTACTGGCAACGCTGAGGAGTGGAATTTCTCAGTTAATGCAAACCATATTGATCTGCAATCATAGCTTCCACTTTAACTACTTTCGCATGTATTCGATTTGTTGAAAGTATTTTCCAATTGGTGCGGGTATAACGAACCGTATGGTAAAGTGTAATCAATCTCGGTAAGCAAGCTGGTAAATTGAGTGAAACGCGAGCAATAGCGGCGCGTCGAATGCAAAACTCGAATGAAAATTAATTAAAATTTCTAGTTAGATTTCAATTCGAAAGCATTCCAAGCCATCTAATTTTACTCTCCAATCTAATTCTTCCAAGTTATTCGAAATTAGTTATCGTTCGTTAAAAAACAAATTAAACTCTTCTTAAATTTTAATTCTCTTCTCTCATCGATTAAAAATCGACACTTCTGTTCCAAATTCCACATTTCTAAAATTCCAATTTAAAACTTTGCCAAAACACTCGAATTTCGTTAATATCCACGAATCGATCCTAAATCGAATGACGCCAAATGAATCGCGGATCGAAATTAGAGTCGGGCTGGCAATAATCTTCCGTGGTGGAAGATGAGCGGTTTCATAGAGCAACGAAGGAAGGACAAACGCAGGCGGGAAAGAGGAATCGAAGTCTTCCTTGGCCAGTGGGGTCTGGGTGAAACGAGGGAGGGAGGGGTGGAGGGGTCGATGGGGTAGCAGCGAGATGCATTTCGTGGATTAAGAAGGTTATATACCTGGTCTCACGGTGAGCCAGCGCGGTAGGAGTCTAATAAGATGTAACTAAATTATGATTGGATTCATCATTGCCGCGAACGGGATTGGTATTGTCGATGGTTTCTGGTTTACGGAACGAGCGGCCGGACGGCGTCGGCCGGTCAATAATTCATCGGCCTCGCGGCATTCTATATGAAGCGTGATATACCGTGATCCCGAATGAGCGATTGCCAACCGACGGCGAAGCGGGACGGAAGAGGAAGGGACGATTTCTTCTGCGTGCGCTCGATGCGTTGAAACGCGAGGGGTTGCCAGCCAAAGTATGGCCAAGATACGAGGGTTTTCTTCCTTCTTTCCTTTGTTCGATTTTTGTGAGAGGAGAATCCGAGAAAAAGATCGATTCAATTGAGAATTAAAATTTTAGGTGAAATCTAATGTTTAAGAAAAATTTCTTAAATTTCCTTTATTTTCTGAATTTTTTGATTATTGTCACTGCGGATTCTCGGAATATTCTTTTTATCATCTTCTCAAAATCAATCGTCCTACTTCACTAGTCGAATTTTTACTTTAGTAAAAAAAAGAAAATCAATAACATTCGATGAACAATAGATAAAAATAATTAAAAAAATAGACTCTTAAATCTTTATTCCCCCTTGAAACATTAAATTCTTTTATCATTAAACAAAAAGGAATAGGATTATAATTTAATTATAAATAGAAACTCGAAAATATATAATCTTTACTTTCTCTTGCGATATTAAATCTTCACCGGCTTACGTTAAAAATCCAACAGATTATGTTTTCGTAAGAAGAACGAAAATCGGAAATAAGATAAAATACTTATTTAATACTCTTAAATCACCTCCAAAGCTTAAAAAGCTTCCCTAAAAGTCCCAAGGATTTTTCTATCCCTACCGAAAATTCGAAAAGAAATTTTCGAATCCCCGAATTTTAAGAATCCCCGAAAAAAAAAAAAAGAAAAAATCATCCAAGAATCGTACCAATAAAACGTATCCCCGTTACGATTCCCTTAAGCGTGCAAAGGGAAAGAGTGGAAGGGAAAAGGGGTCGGTCAAAGAGGCGAAGAAGGAAACCGGTGGACGGCGTGAGTAAGCGTTTATGCAAAAGGCGAGTAAACGTTCGTTTTGTTGGTCGAATTAGCTTCGTGGTCTCCACTCAGCCGATAGAGGGGCAGGATCAGCGCGGTCTTCTCGAGTTTCGGGGCCCAATCACGTGCCAGTCATTCCTCAGGCTAAAAGGGCCTTCGGTTCCGGGCAACAGGAGGGTGATTTTTGCATGTCACGTGGCCAAACGGGCATACATTGAATGCTCGTCGTTAGGCACTCGTTGTGCCACGATGAGTCGGTTTCACGCAACGATACGGTCCCGAGAACGCTCCACTTCGGCGCCCTTTCTCGAAAGCACCTATGAAAACGATTGGAAGGTGATCCTATGGTATCCGCCCGTTTGTTCAACTCGCACGATGATTTTGTACACGATGTGAGGTGCAAATTAGAAAAAAAAAAAAAAAGAATTGTTGAAACGATCAGATGAAAATTGTGTAGAGATTGTTTGGAATTACAATTTTTTTTTTTTCTTATTTGTTGTAAAATTGCAAGATGGGGATTAAATGAAGATTGTTGTGTTATTGTACTAAAAGTACAATTTTGAATTGTGAAATTTATTAATTCTTTTATTCGAAATTTTGAAGCTAATAAATAAAGAGAAAAATTTTTTTAGATACTGAGATAATGATCGTATAAAAATTGTTGTGCATTTTGTTTGTAAATATGTATCTGTTATAAGTTTTTTTGAAATTATTAATGCCGAGAATATTAAAATGGTAAAAAAGAAAATTTTTTGGGATATTTTAAATTTATTTTAGTTTCTAGTGTACTTCAGAAATAAGAATAGGTTTTAAAAATCTTACCATATAAATTCGCCCAGGTAAAAGGTATTAGGTAAGTATTTTTAAAAACACAATTTGTATACGACTAAAAATAAAAATTAGTCAAATATTTTTTTATGGCCCCTCCGATCCTATTTGAATTTGCGTTGTTTCTCGAATATGATAGTAAAAATGGTAAAAATGATTTTACAAGAACTTGCCCGAAGTAACGGTAAAAACTACCCTTGAGAGAAGAAACCCTTCTGTCGTTCCAATGTTTTTACGACTTGACCCACATTTTTCGAGAGGAAACGAGGGTACAGGTCTGTGTCTTTTCACTGGCGCGGCGCACGTGCCATAAAAATACAAGAACCGTACGATTTTCCTTTGGTAAAATAGTCGAGAGAAAGGTGAAAAGAAACGAAGAAAGAAAGCGGAGTCCTGTACCGATGCTAAAAAGTCACGGACACCGTTAGACCGTAAAAAGATACACGTCGTACACCCTCGTGAGATATTTCTGCACGCTGTTAGACGTGTTCGTTTCGGAGAATACGGTTTTACTGCTTCTAAAAATATTTCAAACAGATAATCCAGACATATATATATATATATATATTTTTTTTTCCTTATATTTTATACAAACGATAAAGAAAGGAAAATTTAAAAACGTAATTTATCTTTGCAGAAAGATTGTTGAATCTATTCGAATTACAAGAATCTATTTCTTCTTTCTTTCTTCTTTTCTTTGTTTAGTGAAATTTGTATTAAAACATATATTAAACATTTTTTTATATTATTTATCATATGGAATTTTTTAAAAATTTTAAAGAAAAATCTTTTAAGTAAGTGTATATTGTTACAACAAATAATAAAAAAAAAAATGTCGGGCAAAACAAAAGTGAAATTTTACGATGACTTCAATATTTTCATTTCGTAACTTTTTTCAAATTTTTTTACCATCTTTTATTATTAGATCTAAGTTCTTTCTTTATTTTCTTTTTTTTTTTTATTGTCCGTTTTTGACTATCTTTGGTATTTTACCTTTTTCACCTGGTCACTTGCAACTTCTTAAATTCTTTTACCTGCTTTTATCAAGCTTAACTTTTTTTCTTATTTCCTTTTTTTATTGCCCACAATATTTTTCTGGTGTTTTATCTTTTTTACCTGTTTTCATCCGATTAGTATAATTTCCCAAATTTTTTTACCAGCTTCTAATAAACATAATTCTATTTTTTATTTCCCTTATTTATCAATTAAGACAGTTAGTTGTTAGTTTTATTTTATTCCTGTTCTCTCTGATTACCATAAAATAATTATCACCTTTTTTTAAATAACGAATAAAAATAAATGAATCATGATCAATTACAGATTATCAACGGATTATATCGATCACGATACCTGAAAATCTCCTGCACCTCTGAAGAAACAAAAATTTTTATTTTTATTGTACCTTTAAGCTTGGGAAACTGTCTTAAGGCAGGTATGTAATTATTACAACATTGTATTGGAGGATTTACCTCTCTGAAAATCTGTCTCTAGCCCTGTAAATCGTTGAATGAATTTTTTTGCCGACCAAGATTTTATTTTTCAAACAGTCCTCAAGTTGTAATGTAAGAGATTTCAAAATTTGTGTAAATAATGTGTTTCACAACACAGAAGCTATTTGGGCCTGCATTATTTTCAAGGTTCGAGCTTACGTGGCCATTTTCGACCTTTAAGCTCGAAATTTATCGTTTCTTTTTACCACTGGTTGCGTTGTATACGGGCAATTAGAGACACTAAAACGAGAAAAAAAAAGGGAGAGAGGAAGAAAGAAAGACAGAACGGAAAAAAAAAAAGAAAAAAAGGTGGAACAGCTCGTAGTCGCACAAAGAAAACGTTCCTTTGAACATGATTATTCATTCATTCGTAACAAATTTCTATCCATTGGATTTCTTCCTATTTTTTTTTTTTTTAAGAATTTTTAAATTACTTTGACATTGCATTTTTTAAAAAATAATCCATATGCGACAGAGATTCAAAGATAATAAATAACTAAGACTACTTCCTTATATCATAATCAGAAATCACAAATCAACCACGACCGGGCATCGCTCGATTCAAGGATTTATGCCATCATAAATCCTTCTATCGCTTCGCAAATGCGAAGCATCGAAATCTGAATACCGGGATTGTAAATCGATGATGTTATAACTTTTACGGGAAACTGTTCGTAAAACTGTTTTCCGTTTTTCTTATTTACATTCCGCGCGGACAAAGCCCTATTATTAAAAATTCCTTATCTCGTGAATCAATCTGAAGAAGCGAGAACGAACGCTTTCTCGATTCGACTTTCTTATATAAAACAGCCGCGTAATTACGAAGCTTCTTACGAGTATTCCCGTCCAACGTGAGAAACAAAGAGGGCGGCAAGGGGAGGGGACGTGGTCAACGAGCGTACATCCTGCGTCTGGATGCGGATGACGCAGCAACCGTCCAAGAGCCGTCTTGTCGCGTCTTGATGAGCACGACGAGAGACATCGTCCGTCGATTCAAACTATCGATATCCGACCCCACGACCCTTGCTTGGCCTTGCTTGGGGCTGCATAACGCGATATACGTGCTGCAGGTTCTGATTGCTCTCCACGGATGTGACAGATCTGCCTCGTTCGCCGCGGGACACGAATTTGTCGATACATCCACCCGAGAAGGACGAAGCCTCGATATCATCGTCGTTCGTCCAACACTCATTTCCCCGCCTCGACGATAAGACCCATCTGTGCATATATATTTGAGCGTGAGATTCGCCCAAAAGTTTATTTGCATTCGATTGATTTTCCGCTTTTCCGGCTCAGATTTTCGATAAAACGTACGTGTGCAAGTATGATTAAAAAATTAAAACCTGAATTTACATTGCATTGATCGACGATGAGTGAGACGATTCGATGATAGCGTTCGTTACTCGTTATATCGAATACATTTGGAATTATTGCAAGATATCTTCTAAATCAATATATTTCAATTGTCTCTTCACTTTATGACGAAATCTTTAATCTTTTTACTACTTCAAAAGATTAAGTCTGTTTCGGTAAAGATAAAAATAACAGCTTGGATTATTCGTAAATCTGTTTATAAACGAGGATTACGTATCGCTCTTTATTATAATGAAATAGCATAAAATTTACAGGCAAGAATTATTAGATTGCAGGTACGATAAAAATCGTTTGCACTTTTATTGAGACTTTACGGCTCATAAATTTTCTACTTTCTTTAAAATACTTCTTTTCAATCGTTATCCAAAAGGAATTGAACGAACGGACGATAAGTGGTCGAATATAGAGTGATTTTCGAACCGAGATTGGATTTAAGGGATGATTTTACATAACGAATTCTCGTATTAAATTCAATTTTTTTCCCCTCATCTCCACATACGTAATTCCATTAATTATTCATTCATACTCGATCGAAAATCAATCAATTCAAACTCCGCTACTTGAAAAAATATTCACCACTG